ACGTGGACGTGGTTAAATGCCTCGTAGACGAACATTCTGCCAAAGTGTCCTTGCAAGCCAACGTGAGTCCGAGTTTCTATCTTCCCATGATATCCATGTAGGTAATTCCTAGAGCGTGTGATTGAAGTGGTATGCACGCCCAGCCTCAGGAACCCATCTGATCACGCCCTTGTTGTTGTATGGAGACGAAAGCCTAGACCAGGGAGTTTATTGACGTGACGTTTTGGATTCGCGCTCGCCAATTAATTTCTTGTTCCAGCGATCGTATCTTCGTCTTCTTCTGAACTGCTTCCTGGAATTCGCTTGTTCACTTCTGTCATAGCTCAGACCGTTGACGGTTTTAGTTGCTTAGTCAAGAAATTCGTCTGAGTTGGTCATTCAACTGACATGGGGATCGTAGCGTCCCATCCCCTTGTAACCAACCTTTGTACAATCGATTGGCTGTGAAGAGCTAGTCATGGTTTACGCTGTGCGTGCGGTACACGTGCCTTTGCGCGAATGGCTTCTGTATGGTCTTTTCGTTCCAGTGTATTTCAGAGCTACCATTTATGCTTGTAGTGGTCGACTTTTTGGTCTTGGTTCTATCTCACATTCCTTCATCCCTCTTCAATTAGTTAATATGTGCTCTATTTTTTCCCACCAATATCTTCTGATGCCCCTATGTAGGACGGACTGACACCTCTTCATCTTTCTGCGCAAACCGATAAGCTAGCCATTGTCGATTTTCTCCTGAGTCATGGAGCCGACTTAACCGCCAAGACCCTGTCAGGTTTTACCCCTCTTCACGACGCCTGTTACAAGGGTAATCTCCCGGTTGTACAACTGATGCTGCAACATCTGGCAAAGGGAGACCGTGAGACCCTCCAAAACCTTCTCTCCAGTCGCACTGTGATGGGCTGTACTCCACTACACTTGGCAGCACAGCAGGGGCACCTTCAAGTTGTCAGTCTCCTTCTGGAGTACGGTGCCGATCCCAATGCCCGCAATATGGTAAGGCGTCTAAGCACAGCGTTCACCGCTTGAGGCACTCCAACATTTTCATTTTCAAAAAAGGTGATTTACTTGCAAAAATAATAAATAAATTATTCTATGATTACAGCAAGGATGGACTGCAGCTCAGATTGCCAACAAGCAACACTATCTCAATGTCTTTGAAACCCTTGCCAAGGTGACTACAAAAGTAGTTGACTGGGAAGTCCCGAGTATAGAGGGCGCTGGCCCAGACGGCATTTCCGATGGGGACCCTGCTCTGGTTGATGGTTCAATGGTGTTTGACAGTCCAACACAGATGATCGATCGTGTCCTTGTGGAGAGTGAAGATGAGAGTGAGTTTGTCGGTGGTTTTTGCGACAAGGTTTTTGATGAATCGGTTTCTTTTTAAATAAACCCCTTTAGTAGGACCAAAAAAAGGTTTCAAGTACTTTTGCATGTTTTGTTTGTCCGACCTTTTGGACATTGCATGCTGGGATATCGTTTTCTTGAACTCCTAAATAATTGATGTCTGTTGTCTTATGTGTCATATATGTGTTTGTGTTGCTTTTGTTATCCTGTCGTCTTCTTTGTCCAGGTGACCAATTGTTGTCAACTCCTGTTATAATGAGACATTCGCCGAGAACCTTTGAGAGATGTGAGCTTCTTTATTATTAATCTTCTTCCAGCTCATGAACATGCGTTTTGTTTGTTTGGATGGCTGTGTTGATTTGGATATCTAGGAGAAATTTTAAGTTAGCTACCCGCCACACGAGTAAAAGTTATGATGATGCAATTTTTCAGTTTACGTGTACGTTAGTACCGCTGTCTTAGACCTGCCATACAATTAAATGCTACAAAGCGGTCAATGATGAATTGAAAGCACGACACACATACACACAGAAGTAAACTCGCTACATTTGCTAACTTTATTTGATATAAACGCATGGTTCGGTAGCCGAAACCACCTCACCTTCTGAGCCATGTAGTCCACAACTTGCCAGTGTAATAGGATTTATAGAAAGCGCTTAGATTAAATTCAGCCTGTTCAGCACCATATCAGTTTCATGGAGGGCTTTAGTGTACAGGAAAAAAAACAATTATCGTGACTATCAACCGGTCAGAAAGCTGGTTTCTGCTCTTGTGTGTTAAAATGTCTGTTTTTTTGGTTCTCTATGTTGTACACTGCTTTACGTTGTCCTAAAAATCACCTCCTTTCAGTGTCGTCCAACGATGTCAGTTTGCCACATTCACCGTCGTTTGAACGCCTGTGTGATAAATTCGAGTACACGCGCTCGCACAAAGGTGAGAGCTCTCAGAGGCAGTGTTTAACCTTGTTTCTTCTGCCTTTTATTCCTTCCGCGCATGTTTGCCTCAAAATGT